TCTTCCCCATGGGAGTCGAGGGGAGTGGGATTACCTCTTAAACCCCTGTCTCGCAATCCACACACACAGTAGCAGCTACACAAGGAATATGTACAGTTTTTGTTGCTGTTAACCACATCAAGCCTTCTGTGTCTGCTTCTGTTTTCAGGTTTGCCTCCCCGCCCAGCGGCCCGTCCTTTGGCGCTCTAGCCACTCAGAGCGCTCCGTCGTTCGGGGGCCTCGCCCAACAACAGGGCCTCGCCCAACAACAACAACAGGGCCCCGGGTTTGGAAGTCAGCCCAGCAGCTTCTCAGGCTTCGGACAACAGTCACAGCAGGCGGGAGGTGAGACGGCTACTTCTTTTCTTCCCTCGTCGTCTTCAAAATGTCCTCTTGCTCACCAGCACTTAGTTACATATTGTTAAGCAGCATGGTCAGTAGCTCAAGTGTAGTCGGCATGCGATTCTTCTTCAGTATATTAATAGTAATGGCAACGAAGCATTTTCAGTCCAGTATTTTTCATCCTATGAATTTATACAAGCAGTGCAAATCCTAATTGTAGTTGCTCACCCAGTATGTGGTGATTCATCGTGCATCTGAAATGAGCATTGCATTACAATTGTGGGTTTTCACCTTTTTTGGGTGCAAATTCCACAGTTGTAATGTTTTATTGCTACAATCCCCCGATTAATCACTTCTCTCCATTTGGTAGGATTCTCTGGAAACACCTTTGGCTCTACAAACCAGTAAGTGTGGTCCACACATTTCATTTGAATTGATGTCTTTTTGTGTGTGTGTGAACCAATGAATGGACAGACCCACATGTCCCTGTTCCTCCCTGGCAGCAGTGTGTTGTGCTTGTGGTGAAGCTCGCATCTTTCTACCACAACACGATTCCCCATAGAACCTTTCAGATGTAATAACGCCTTGTCTATTTCGTTTTATTTGCCTTTTCCCTTCTCTTTATTCATTTAGATTCAAACTGAGCTTTAATGCTATTTCACTGTATTAAAATCTATTAAAAATGTCCAATAGATCAAATTTACCATACTAAATATACATCATTCTCCTAGCTCTTCCTTACTAATTGCCCCGTTGTGATTATAGTTTCATTCCCATCACTACTGCTTCGGTCTTTCGTCCCTCAATCCCACTTCCTACCTCTCCTTCGTTTGTGTTGCTTCTCTCTCTCTCTCTCCATTTGCTGCTGCGTGTCACACGGCAGCCAGAGTTCCCCGGGGTGTGTTCCAGTGAAATGCGCTCTGAAGTGTGCCGGAGTGTTTCGAGACGAGGCTTAGCACATCGGACATGTTCACATGCTGTTAATAATCCTTCTCTCCGTCTTTTTCACTTGTTCTTTTGTGACTTCCCTGCATAGTACATTCATATCAATGCTGCTTTGCTAAACTGTACTCATTCATTGGATTAGATTATTATTATTATTATTATTATTGTTTTAGTTAATATGCAAAACAAGCCTCTATAATTTGACTGAAACTATATATATATATATAGAACCACAATTTAATACCCCAAAACACCAGACCACAAAATAACCATATTCAAATCAGATAACCGTGTACAACATTGTTCATTGGCTGAAAGAAAACGTTTTCTTTCAATTTCAGTGATATTTGATAAATTACAAAAGACATTCTTGTTCTTACGAAGCTGTCCAGCTCTACTGCTTGTTTGTTTTTCCTCTTTAATCCCTTAATAATTTCCCCTTTTTGTCCTCTTTAAATACATGAAGCTCCTCAGCATCACTTAATATCGATCTTGTGGTTCCAACACTTTATTGAAGCCGTTATCCATCTCATGCTGACAGAAATCTTTCAATCCAATAACGGCACCATACCTTCAAATGCAAAAAAAATTGTGCAGAGGTTGTGATAAATCTAATAATATTACAACTGGCATTGAAACTCTTCTCAATAATCTCTCCCTCTCTGCTTTGTCTGTCATTTCTTCTTCCAGATCAAGTCCACAAACATTTGCCAGTTGGAGAAGCTAGTTTTATTAAACGTCCACGTCACTGCTACAGTGCTTTCTGCAATCAAGCACCTCGTGCCACATAATGTGTGAAGGGAATAGGGCGGAGACTGTGTTGCATTCGGGCTAAATAAAGAAAAGTGAATTAGAAGATATACATGCATTTTCTTTTCTAGAAAAGTTTTGTATATATTGGAAACGTTTTTTCAACCAGTGTTCAGTTTGCAATTTATATTTACTTATATATGTTCATTTGGGAACTTTATGCCTGATCTTAATATGTTCTTAGGACAAAGGAGAATCAAGTTATTAAACAGGTTTTTAAAAATTCATAGAAAACTTTTTGGTTTCTAGTTAATTTTGTGTCCAGCATTTGTAAGTTTTTGTTTTTGCACTTTTAAGCATATTAAATGCACAAAAAACATTTAATCTCCTGAACAGTTCAGTCTTTCGTTGAATGATGGGTGTCCTCTGCATGTCTATACAAATTAAAATTCAGTCCAATCGCATATGTCAGTACGGTTGTAAATAAATGTCAAAAATGTTGCCTACAACCAAAATTAAATGAGCCCGACATGCTAAACTGTAACACAAAGAATTGTGGTCAATGGTGAAAAAAGTTATACATTTCTTTTCAGATGATTTTTGCAGTAAATCCCCCCCCATTGATATATTTTTTACATGAAAGTGTGGTAATAAATAAAATTTCTCAAAATATTTGTCTTTTCAAAATTGTATTTCTTAATGCATCATGTTAATCGCTCATTGTTTATGTTTATTGTCTCGTAGTTATGAAACGGAACACAAACCAACATTAGTGTGTAATGTAGTGTCTCTTTATGTTCTTGGAAGCAGTAAAGTGTTAAATGATCTACAGCCTTCAGCGTGCTGCTTAGATAAGTTATGTTGCAAAGTGGAGAGATGATACTTTGATTTTATACAATTTTATTGAGTTTAATGTTTACCAAAACGTCTTGACGTCCATTGTAACATAATTTCACAGCATCACAGAGCACGGCTGTGCTTAGTATTTCCTTAATACAGAGGAGAATCACCTCTGAAGGATCGTCATACAAAATTAAATTCTGTTTAAGTCGAGGTGGCATGAAGAATAGCACGGCAGCGAGCGCGTGTACACGGTTCACTAATTAATGCTAAATCCTTGATATGCAGCTCATTCCTCCGTCTTCAGGGAGGAATTCATTGACTCGCATGCGGAGCTAAATTGGGCAGTGGGAGAATGCTGATGGGGATCCGCGGCGCTGTATCGAGAGACTCGATGTTGTGGCATTTGGTCCACCACCGACGGAATTACATTCCCGGCTTATGGCTGTGGAGCATGTCACCGTCACTCTGGCCAGCCTTATCTTGGGTCTCTCACCGGACGGGTCGCTCTGAAGTGTGTCGGGAATGTCACGGTCATAAAAAAAGTGACCTGAACTCATCCACATGCTGAAATGTTCGAATCCTTCTTCCCCGATGGTCTTTAATATATATATATATATATACGGTAGACTTCCTGCAGAGAATTGGCTACAAATAAATGTGTTTTGTGTTTCTGTCTGAAGACTCATAATAAGCGGCGTTATCACAAATGATGTTTGATCAGCGTCTGCTCTATTTGATGTCTCAGGTAAAGAGTTGCAGTTGAACACACGGGCAGATTACAGAGGCACACGGGCAGTTACAGAGCCCAAAGTCTGTAATGCTTTCAGCTAAACCGGATGAGATTACGAGATTTTCAGCACCCAATCCACAACTGGCCTCTATGCAAGCATTAATGACAGAGTTGTTTTTATTATCATTACCCCACAAATGTAACAGAAATACTCAATAGTGAGAGTGACTTCTTTCTTTTGTGTCGCTGTTCCTGGTGATGGAAAGTCTCACCGACACTCGGGAGGATGGCAGCTGTCTTCATGGAATCCAGATAAAAATAGCTTAGTCAAAACCACTTCCCACCCCTCCCCCAACCACACTGTCATTCTCTGTGCCCCCCCACCACCAAGTAAGTGATGATCAGCAGCTCTTAAGCACATCCTGCTTTGCTGACACATGCACCATCTCTACATGTGCCACTTCACTCCCCAGTGGGTGCACCTTTTGGGGTCTTAAGGCATTCCTATGAACGGTGGTGAATGCTACAGATTCTGGTGACTCGGGTGTCTCCCATATGTGTGCCAGCCATGCTGTACACACTATTGTGTGGGGGGTGGTCAGCAGCTCCTCTGAAAGAGCGTGCTACAATTTTCCCGAATGGGTAATTTAGTTTGCCCAGATAATCCAAATCCACTAATCCACTGCCGGACAAGGGAGACCTCGCCCCCTGTTTCTCTTCTCTCTGCACACCATGCTGACACGGTGGTGCACTGCAGAGCTAAGGTTACCAGTGTCCATTTTTTCTTACTCTGCAGAGCAACAGAATAAGATTCAGACCACCTGGATTCGTAAGATTATACCAAAGGAAATCTATTTGTAACCAGATTGGTTTTCAACCATGTTAGCTTAAGGGACGGCAATGTTGGTCAATCGGTCCACCACTGTGTTCCAGACTGAAATATCACCACAAATATTTGATGGATTGCCATGAAATTTGGTACGGACTTTTATGTTCCCCTCAGAATGAATAACCTTTCATTCAGGTCAACATTTCACTTATTCCTATTGGTTTGTGACCAAATACCCATGCAACACTATCGACATTCCCATCAGCCTCAGCTGTACTTTGTTTTGTTTAATGCCAAGTCGCTAATGTTAGCACGCTAACACTTTTTAGATGGTGAACTCAGTTAACATAACTGCTTAGCATCGGCATATTATCATTATGATCATGTTAGCTTGCAGATGTTAGCATTTAGCTTCAAGTGCCTAAGTACCGGCTTGCAGAGCCGCTAGTCTAAGAACATAAATCTGCATACCACTTCAGGACTTCTCTTAGTTCACAAATTATAAAGTTAATTGTTAGATTCCTTTACCTGGCATGTCAAATATTTTACCAGCCAAAAAAGTAACGAGTAAAAGTGGCCATTTTCAAAAACAACCCACTTTAAAAATCCAAAGCAAGGGACAATATATGTGCTTTATACTTTGTCGTTGTCTTGCATTGTCACATTTACTATTAATATTCATTTCAAATGTTATCAGTTTTTATTTTATTTTTTTATTGTGTGCATGTTGCAACTCATCGCCCCCAGCTGCGTGTCCGTCCCTTCTGTAACTGCTGTTACACAGCCCTGTATACTGGTACTAGAATGTAAGGACATGATTACTTCGTGTGCCAGTATTCATTATCAAATACTAAGCACAGCTTTGAGCCTTATAGCAGCACTGACACAAGCACCATGCATGATAAATAACACCCGAGCGATACCAGTAAGTCCATCCCCACCTCGGAGCCTTTAATTACTCACCTGCCTCAGTTCCTCCTCTTTCCCGCTCTGTCTTTAAGTGACTCACAGGGATTACGCAGTTCAGTGTCATTACTTATCCTGATACTTCAAAGGAGCTTTAAACTGAGAGTTTTAATTTAAATCAAACTCCATTTCATCTTCCAAGTATCCAGAAAGTGTCCAGAAAGAAGTGAGCCCTGCCTCTGCAGGGAAAGTCGACACGCCCCTCTCCATTTACGTGTGACACTAGAAAAACATGTGCATGCGACAGCAATTTCCACACTTAGTCCGCATGTGAATGGATTACTGAGAACGGGTTCAACGTCTTAACAGACTCGACCGTGGATGTCAGGCATTCGCACAGATGTCAGGGGGAAGGCATCGCCACACTGGTTCCCTTTCCATCATTCAAATGTAAACATCAGGGAACATCTAAAATGAGACAATAAACTCCCCCAGAGGACGGACAACAGACTCGTTTAAGTGCATGTCTTGCTCCGACAGTATCTCAAGCACACTTGACATTCGCCCCTTTTTTTTGCTTTTGCTGCAAAAGCTGTTTTTCCACAGCTGGCTTCCCAGCATCACCTCTAAATGTCCCACTCAGGTGAGCATTCCCTGCTTCTATAGCGCTGGCATTCACTTTGAGCTTGAGCTCATGGTCTAAGAAGTCATCAATCAACTTTGTCAGAACTGATCGCAAAAAGTAACTTTGTGCTTATCTTGTCCAACCTCCTGAGGTATAAATTGATTGCGGTGGTTTTGATACCGCATAGAATCTGTTTTGCAGCAGAAGAATTGCATTATTTCGCCAATAACCCTCTGGGGCTATTTCACTTTGAGCTCTTGAATCTCACTTGCAGTAGTTAATTCTCTCATTTGCTGAATCGAGGACTTTCCCCCTTTTCACTCAGCAAGCGTCTTGCATTTTGGGTGCATGTTAAACACTGCTGGTGTCAGCAAATACTGCTCAAATTTAGGGTACATAAACTGACTCCATATCCAGTTTTTGGTCAATCAATAAAAATCCAAAGGTCTGCTGATGAGACATTGCAAAAGATTCTGCACAAATGCTATGACAGTGGCGTGTTTGTCATATGTACAGCTCTCTGGTCTGCTCTAATAACGCCACGTCAACTAAAACATGGCTTTCGCTACGTTAGCAAATGCTTAAAAATGATTCGTTTAGCTTTAGCCTTTGCCCGATAGATGTGTATTCTAAAACCCCACCTACAGACACAGTATTGTTTCTATTGTTGCCTATATTTAAATTGTATATTAATAACTAAATAAAGTGTAATTAGCTGATACATTTTTTGTGTAAAGTGACGTTTTCCGAGGCAAGTTTTGTAGGCTGAACACTTTCTGTTAAGGCACCCTTATAAAGTAAAGTATTAGTTACACAACTATTTTACTTTGCTACTGTTAATAAATGATGCAGACTTGATGTTTATAACCCGTTATTAACGGCTTATTAACATGAACACCCGCAGAAGTGATGATCCAGTTGCATTATTAAAAAAAGAGAGGATAAATACCAGCCATTAGGATTGTGGCAACCCAAAATCTGTTGTCATAAATGGCTTGCAACTGATCTATAAAACATTAATATATTATTTATTGAGCATTAATAAAGACATTAGTTATAAATACAAAGTGGTACCAGGTGTATTCAGTGCATTTGTGTTCCAGAATGAGTGAACGGCTTGTTAGATGTATGGAGGTGCTACACGTGGCACAGCAGTGTGGAATAACGAGACGTGACAGTCCACATCCATGTCCTTTGTTTCACATGCTGTCCTTACTGCTGTCAATCTAAATGAAATGTGTTGATGTTTTTTTTTTTTTACTTTTCTTAACAGTCGGAACACCACATGAGAGATTACAAAGGGAAGGGGGTTCATCAGCCGAGACGCGTGACCGTATATCACCACGAGAACTCACGTCGTCACCTGGGACAATAGCACACCGGCAAGAATGATCAGTGTCTCTTTAGAAAAGTTAGTTTGTAATTTCAATTTTTCAAAAACTGTTGCTCTGTCTGCTTTTTCTTACCTGTTTTAGACCTCACCCGACCTTTTTGTAAGCTCCTTTAAACTGTACAGAGAAATTAAAGTAACTATGAAATGAAAGGAGACTAAGTCTTGTGTTTTCTTCATGCGAGTGACGGTATTAATATTTACAGAATTGAATTATGGACAAGGCAGGCCACAGGTCAGATGAGGTGTTCATTTTAACTTTTCATGAAGTAGTTCAGCTGCTAATTGTGTAAATGATGCTTTCCCTCAGGAGCTGCTTGTGATGTCTGTGTTTATTACAAAAAGCCTTGGCTGAGTGTGGGAGGTGTAGGAGCCAACAACATCGCATGCTGTAATTACACTGATGGCAATTAAAGTTTGCCTATAAGTACCCTTGTCCCCGCTTGTGGGATGTTCAGTGTTTAATGGCCATCATTAATTTAAATGGAAATCACACCGTACTGTATAGTAAGCAGTTGTCCTTATTTAAGGATTAGTCTGTCCAGATGTAATCCAGATGTGCTTGTTGTTTAAACACCAATCTTGTGTAACTGGAGGGGTTGCAATGTGAGTGCCTGGCTTGAGCGCAACAATGGTTTATATAGTTAAAAAAATCTACAACACATCAAATTAAGTTCCCTTAAAAAGGCCTTCGAAGGTATTAAAACGTTTTCAATTTTAATATTTTTTTCTTGTCTGCCATAGCAGTGATATCAGTTAAAACCTTTTTGTGTGAGATTGTGGAGACATTACATTATATTATCAGAGGTTTCCATACAGCAAACACTGTCACTACCGCTAACTGCAGTTGCCTGGAACCTAAATTGTCAATTTAGACAAACCTAATTGATTAATGAATCCACCCATTTTATGACACTTACATGACCCCAGGTTGTGTTGATTAATTATTGTGATATAATGCTGGAAAGCACTAAAAAACAAATGATTTAATCATACTTTCACTGTGGTCGATATGGTCATAAAATGGATATTAAAGTGCATTTTATGTGGTATTGAAAAGGACTTAAGTCTTAAATTTTACTTCGATAACTCTGCAGAAACCCTGTGAGTGACGCTATCAACAGGGACATCAAAATCTTGTGACTGAAGGAAAGTATGTTGCTTAATATAAATCTTAATATAAGCCTTTGAATTCTCTATTATACTAAAATATAAAAGTGACTCAAAAGCATTATACTTCCATGTTTGCAAGTAATGTAAATTTGGAGGTGAAATAGTGGCATAAAGTGTAAACTAAGTCCTCCAAACAGCAGAGTGATATAGAGTACTTTTCAAACCAAAATAGCCGAGCCAGTGCATTTCTGTGGATCAGTGGCTAATAAATCCCAATATTGTCCCAGAGATCACAAAGAATGATGGAGAGCTATATCACCTCCAACATTTGAAGTATTAATAGTGATGTCTGGTGCCGCAGATACAGTGGCACAGTGATTATTTAGTATTACAAATAGGGACAGGTGGATGTATGTTGGGAGACACTGCAACACGCTCACAGACTGAGTCGAGTAAATATAGCTGTGAATGTAAAGCTCAGGAATGTGACCAGGATAGCACAGACAGTCCAACCAGGCACGCAGAAGCTGCTGCTGGGGGAGTTCATTTGGTAAATGGACGCGTCATAGGATCAATCATTTTTAGTAAACCGGACATTAAACCAGCCGCTCAGTCTTCTCTACTCTACTGTTAACCAGACTTTCCACAGTTCTCATTAAAGCTACCAGTGGCTAAAATCACAAAGTTGTCTTAAGGTTTGTGAGTCACTGTCCTCCATATCTGCAGTGATTCTCTGAGCCTGTACCGAAAGGGACGATATCAGCTCCCCGCTAACGCTGTAGACTAAAGATTAACTCTAAGTTCTTACCTACGTGCTTAATGTGGTAATATTATACACCAAGTGATGAACTGAAAAATTAAGCAACCCAATAGAGCACTTTACAATCCTTTGAGGACTCCTTAAAGAGTTGTAATGGAGGTGCAGGGCAGATGCGGTGGGAAAGAACTCATCTGCTGTTATTGCTATTCGGCATACTTGTGTACCCTCTTGCATTCCAATGACTTAATTCAGATTCATACGTTTTGACATTTGAAAGGATTTACCTGCCACAGACAGGGGAGGCAAGTCAGAAAAGTATTGGTCTTTTCAATGGGATTAACAGACAATAAGAAAAATATAATATATTGCCAGTTTTATCTTTCAAATAAAATCCAAAAAACCTATAAAAGAATGAGATTGAAAGGAACTGTGAATGAGTCAACAATGAGAGATGGAGGAGAGATAATAAGAGTCATTCTCCACACAGACACTGGAGTATTTCTCTGCCCGCTTTAAAGGCAATATATTTAAACCGAAAGGCAGACACACACTGCACACCCCTGAGATAAATTGTGCTGAAGTATGAGGTTCATATGCAAAATGGGAATTTAATTTATTTGTCATTTTTCGCAATAAACAAGTACTTAACAATTTAAGTTCTCTCATTCTCTCATAGGTTTTCCCTTATTTCTTTTCTTTTTTTGTTTATTTGTATGTATGTCAAATCAACATAGTCCTTAAAGAATCTCAACTGTATTTTTCTTTTTCTTTCTTTATCCTCCTTTTTTCTCTCCCATTCTTTCACTCGATTACACGCCCTTACATGACTCTGTCTTCTGTCATTGCTTTTAATCACTGCCGTCGACAAAAAGAGACTCTATAGAACAGCAACATCTTTTCCGATGCTGTAGAAATGTCTTGACAGGCCGAGGCATACAGTGCATCATGTGCTCATCCATGTATGTGTAGCCTCGGGGGTTTGTTCCTATGCACGCTTTCAAGATGATTCAGTTGGGCACTCAGGACAGTGACACATGTTTGGATGAAACTAGTAGATTCATTCAGTATAATTAGTCATTAAGGAAGGCAAATGCAGACAGCAAAGGAAACTCACTGTTGGTTTCAGTTTGAATATCACACTGGGAAAAGTACATCTCCACATTAAAGCTAAAAGGAAAAGGAAAGACAGATAATGTTTGTACATTTTATTAATTCATGAAAAAGACCTTTTTATATATTAATTTTTTTCTGGGTTTGTTTCCCCAGTGTTGTGCATTTTCACAGTTTTCAATATTTGCCAGAACTGACCCATTTTCAAGTATTGGTGTAAAAGTCAAAGCTGAACAGAAGTACACAAACTGCTTTAACTATTTCAGTGCTGTATATGCGGAAAACAAACCAAACAAAAATGAGAAACATACATAGTCGCTCATTTTATCTTCTGTGCTACATCTGGGGTTGTGTTTCAACCATGGGGACTGTGTTGATTTAGTTTATGAAGGAAAACCACAAGATGAACTTTCCAATTTCATGGGATAGAACCACAAGTCAAAGTCAGAAAATGAAGGCTGGCGATTGTGAACTTGGGATGTCTTATTGGTTTAAATAAAAGGGTTTGTTGATTCACTGATGATTCGTGGGGAGTTCAATAACTACATGACGATCAAAAGCAAAGGAAGCAGCCCTCCCTTTCAACCACTTGGCTCAGCCCTACAAGCAGAACACACCACAACAAAGAATCTTCCACATGGCTACATTTTGCATTTGTAATGTTTCTCAGGAAATACAAATATGCGTGATGCATTTAATGATCAGAAACAACTGAAAACAGGCCTGGTATTGAATGCCAAGAGTTCATGAGTTACTAGCAATGTCCTACTGCATAGTTTTGGCGTTATCCAATTGTGGCACCTTTGGCCCTCCATACAGCAAACAAACAATGTGCCGTTTTGTTTTTCTGTGGCTTATTTAAGGAAGCACATAAAGCATTTATGAAGTTCTTCTGTTGTGTTAACATAAAATACACATCATTAACACATCCTAACAGATTCAGACACACACACACACACACACAGAAGACAATTAATGCCCTTATCCTACAATATATGCTGTTGATAGTTGACAGGCACCCCACTCTCTTTCACCTTAAAGCATGAATCACTTCCTGATTATTAGTAAACAGGTGTGTTTGTGCATATGGCTTTGTAGCATGTGCATGTGTTCAGACGGTCCACGTGCAGGGCTGATGAATGAGTTCTCACTGCCAATGTACTGCTATGACAATCAGATACCACACCAGGCCTGCTCCTTTCCCCCCAGGGTGTGTGTGTGTGTGTGTGTGTGTGTGTGTGTGTGAGCGTGTGAGCGTGTGAGCGGGCAAGCGCTGTCCCTGTTCTATGACAAGGACGTAACCTTTCATGCACTGTGTTTGTGTGAGAGAGAGAATCATGACTCAACAACAGCAGAAGCACATCAGTGGAACTCCTCATCCTGCCTAAGTCCCTCAAATGGGATTCAACACACACACACACACACGCTCGCATGAATACACACACACACGTGCATGTTGTGAGGGCGGGAAACATCTGCGTGTCAAGGTTTAATAACATTAAATGTAGTCCAGCTCAGGTACTATCCACGGTGTCCATGGGTCATTGCAAGACATGACGAAGCAGATACAAATACTACGTCAGGCGAGAGGTCCCCGAGTTTATAACATGAGCTTTCTCTGCTGCATTCAAAACAAACCACCAATTGAAATAACTTGTGCTTGACATCCAAGTTGGGCTTGGTAAATGTCACTGTTATTTTAGGCTGGCTATAATTTCTAAATGGATTTAATTTGTTGACACCCTTCATATTCATCCCGCCGCCTCTCGACTGTCTGCAGTACATTTTAGGACTTTGACAGCTCGCCTCACCCAAACACTTTGACCCTGACCTTTGCTGTTTGGCCTCACTTAAACCTCAACCATGACTTTATCCGGCCATTGCGTTGCATGACACCGACTCGGTGCAGTTCAGCCCATCTAGGGCATGCAAGTGTGTCACTGCAGATCTAATTATGACAGCAATCCCCCAACAGCCTCTTACTTCTCTTCTCCTTCTCCCTGCGACCCAGCCTGGAGCAAAGGCTATCGCGGTTGAGCCGAGCAGGAGTGTCTACATGTAGCCATGTGTAAGCTTAAAATGTAGTTATGATGTGAACAAAGCAGTTCAGTTTGTGGCATCAAGTGGACATCGGGAGTTGATGTTTGAGCTCTGGTTCAGCTAAGCTCTCAATATTGCATGTTAAATATGAAGCTAGAGCCAGGACACGCTTAGCTTAGCATAAAGCATTGAAACACCGACTGATTCCCCTTTTTTCCAGCCTCGTTAAGCTAAGCTAACTGCCGGCTGTAGTTTCGTATTTAGCTTACACACATGAGAGTGGAATCAATCTTCTCCTCTAAGTTTCTGCAAGAAAATGAATAAGCATATTCCCCAAAATGTCAAATTATTCCTTGGTAGAAATATCGGCCAAATCATAGTACTTGCCTAATGAGACATAATGTCCTAAAAAAAACACAAAACCTGTCCCGAGTTTGAGGGATAAAGGCTTTGTACAGTTGCTAGTAAGGAGACGCTGATGAACTGAAATAGCAGCAGCTTACTGATCTTTGTGAAATGCATGAGCAGGTGAGACTTGCACGTAAATTATTTCTTTGGTTTGACAGAAAACACAGAACTTGGTCAGAGCAGTGAGCTTGCAAGATGTTTGTAACATCTGAAAGTGAAAAACTGGCCATTAATAGAAAAAAAAAAACTTGCAGAGCTCATTAACAGATTCTAAAAGCTTATGTGTGCATAAATAACTTTATGCCCATATTTTGGCTTCTCTCTCTGCTTTTAAGTGTTTGGAGTTTGCAGCTGATGCACTTTTCAGAGATTAACAGCCAAACAGGCATCATCTCATTTAATGTTGGTGTCTATAGCTGACCAGAGCTCTTTCTGTATGCGTGTGAAATAAAGGGAGAGAAACCTCCACGTTTCTGCAGCGAGAGCTACAACTGGCAGGGCAGAGAAGTGGGTCATCTATATGCCAACCGAGCAGTCAGGATCAAACTTGCATGCCTCCTGCTCTGCTCTTCAGCCTCGACAACAGACCAAAGAAAGAAGAGGGGAAGTCAGGGGGAGGAAGAACTCTGGGGTAGGTGAGGATTACAGATGATTGAGGGTGAGAGACAAAACCACCGTTAACATGAGAGACATGTTTTGAGTTTTAATATTACAGAAAGACAAGGGGTGTTATTGTTTTGAAGGAGGGCAACAATTATATATAAAATGTGTATAAGATTGTCAAGACTGACAGCCCAGCAAGTATCCTGCTGTTTTCATTCTCCAGTTATCAAGTCCCCAGTTATTTCTCCTGTCTGTGGCTGCTTATTAATCAAAGTATTGATTGTTCAATGTGAGCAATGCAAACACAGTTACTCACTGTGGCCAGACAGGATGGATGCTACGAGAGAAGGGAAGGAAGTGAGAAAAGGGGCCCTGAGATGGAGTGATACAGAGAAAGGAAAATAAGTGTTCTGATGTTGAAAGCGATGCCTATAAACAGAATAAAGTGAATTAAATGAGGTTAGCTGAGGAGTGCCTTTGAGTACTTTGTGCTCAAGTTGTTATTGCACATTATTGTGCTGAGTGCTATTGACGAGGGTTGGCTTCACTGGTATCAGTACAGAGCATCACTTCTGTTGCATAACGCACTTGAAACACAACTAGTTAGTCGGGTTGTATAACTGTGTCTACGCATAATGCTGGTTGTACTCGTGAGACAATACATCTGTCATGTAAATGCAACTGAACATAAAAGCCTTCAGACCCGGGTCTTCTTCTGTGGTATCGTCCCTGTTCTAAACCCACACATTCCAGCACCAACATGTCTGGAAGAGACTGGACAATTGAGCAAAAATACTGCATTGCACTGTGTTTAAGGCGAAAAAGTTTGCAATGGGAAGCAATGTAAACTTAAGGCAGCATGGATTGAATGTCTTGCATGTTTTTTAAAAAAAGTCCTAAAATCTAGTATGTCACCCAATGCAACAACAAACAATTAAATGCACTCTTCCCAAACCATAAATAAAAACACAACTGGTATTCATACACAAGGTTTGTGCATATCCATGCGTGTAGCATGTGTGCAGACATGGTCATGTAAATACTTAAAATCCACCCACACTCACAAACCCCATATCACTTGGCCCAAAACAGCCAAAATATAAAAATTGAAATGAAAAAACAAAAGAAATTATTTTGTTCTTCATTTTTGCAATGATTTCATTTAGCACAGTGCGACCCGACCCAGTTTGAAGGTAGAATGGTTGCAGTTTGTTCACTCCAGTTTCAAAAGTGTGTTCAAGCCCCCCCCCCCCCCCCCCCCAACCTCAGAGCAACAGCTGGTCTTCTTCTCAGAGGTGGTTTCGTTTGCCCGTTTTTCTCTCTGTCAGTCTCTTTTGAAACATAAGAGAGAAGAATATAGAGGCAAAGAAAATAAGGGAAAAGGGTTAAAGCAGTGAGAGCTGGTGACGAACAGGAACAAAAGAAAGAGAAGAAATAAGAGATGATACGGTTCAGGTATCCAAGGCCAGTCTGGTCAGTGAAGCAGGTCAGTATTTGGGTGGGATCACCACCATGGGGTCACCATTCTTTGGCCGCCACATCAGCACCTGGGCGTCATTGGCGTTGGGCTTGACCATGGCGTTAGAGGAGATGGGCTCATTCTTGCCCAGGATCTTGGGCTGTTCCTGGGCCACGGGCTCGGTCAGAGCAGCCCTGTGACCCAGAGGCTTCTCTGGGTCCACTTGGATGTGAAGCCGCATCCTCCAGCGGATTGTCTGCAGCACAAGTGTCTCTGAGGTGGCCTGGTTGATGGCCACCAGCCACGTCGTAAAGCTCTGGTCGCGGCGGATGCTGCTAAGCTGAGGCACGTTGCTGTCGCTGACGGGCACGCCCCAGGTCACGCTGGGGTAAAAATTGTCATTCATACTAACAGTGAACTTGGTGTCCTTCTTGGTGGGGCCTACCACAGTGCAGGTCTCCGTGGTGTTACCGTACCACGGGTAGTTCACCCCATCCGAGTCGCTGATGGCCTGGATTTTGCCATCACGCAGGTCGGGGAGCTCCCAACTCGACCTGGAAGTTAAAAGTCACAGATGAGGATTTACCCAGAAATGGAGCTTTTGTGGCTGTTGTGATTAATTGCACTTTAAATTTGGTCTATTTATAGTTTTGGTCATCATGTCTATCGGTTATAATAACTGACGGGGCAAGAAACACTAGGGAACAACAATCAAGCTGTGTTTTATTCAAACCACTTCCTTTGGAAGCGAGCATTCGTGAAATGTATAATGTGGCGTAATTGCACAACTGCATGCACACACAAGTGCACTACGCCAAAGTTAAACCAGGAAATTGTAAACTGACATAGATGTTTGAAACTGTTAGTTTCATAAAAATTATTTAAATCTGATGTCATGTCAACAGAATGCAAGAATAAAATACTGTGACACACACAGCGGGCGGCACTGAACTGCTCAAGTGACCTGACACCTCTGGTCTGTCCGTCTATGGATTTTCTGCCCGCAGCAGGAATAAGATTACCTTTCATTCACTGAGGCCGAGGATCAGCAGGACGGACGAGATAACAGTGTGATCACCAGCCACATGACTTCCTGCCTGCTTGGCCTGGTCTCGCATTCTGATTTATGTATTCACCCAGGGGGTGAGATTAGCATGTTATGCATGATAATAGCTGGCCCTTGTGCGTGTGTGCGTGCGTGCAAGTTCTCTTCTTAAAAAAAATATCACTCAATCCTCTCAACGGATGCCTCCAAAACAATGTGCAGTGATTCTCCATTTTGTCAGGAACTCAGACGATATTTTAACAGTGAGCACATCAAGCAGAGCCGACTGCACACAGGTGCGATGGGGAGTCGTCCACCCGCTGAGAAACTGTAATCATGAGTAGAGAAAGCGTTGCAGAGATATGGCTCACTTCCTGTTTTTTGTCTTCACTGCCTGCTTCGTCACAGCGAAATGGTCTGACATAAGTGCTGTGAGTGTTTGTGACAGAACCGCAAGGATGTTGAAAAAACATTCACTCAAAATATATAGATATATATATTCATGTATGTATATTCAACTGCATCACATTGTGACTCTTGAGTCAGTTATTGCAAATGTTACAATGCACTCAAGCACAGTGATTCCCAACCAGGGGTAGGTACTCAGCTCAGGGAGTACTACTGCAGCTGCCAGGGGGTACTTGGAAAGATCGTGGATTATGATTTGACAAAACAATATATGTATCCACAGATTGATTGAGCTATAACACCTGAGCACCACAGGTTGTGACTGAGAGTGTGTGCAAACTAGTTCGCAAGAGAGCAGCCTAAACAGTTAAAAGTAATGGATGGCTGAAATAGATAGCAAACATTTAAAGGATTATAAATAGTTTAAAGTGTTAGCTACACAGATTGTGGTTGGAATAGTTAGCCAAAGAACGGATAAATGGTTGATTCGTCCAGCTTCAGCCACTGGTAGTACATTGTAAACTTGACCAGACTAAAAGAAACACTGAAAGTTCAATTGTATAAAATATATATTTTTTAACAATATCCCCTTTTATATAGTTAATAGTGTTAAATAACATCCAGTTTAAAATCAAATGAACACATCTGGAACATGACTTTCATTGAGAAATCGTGTATCTACTGAGCAACATGGAAACATAGCTGATTTCCTGTTTCTGCAACTTTGCCGCAGCATTCATTTGATGTGCCTCATCAATTCTGTTGATGAGGCACAATGACAGATGGCGAAGATTGGACCAACTTTGTAGGAGTAGAAATTAAGAAATAGGGTGCCAATGCAGTTAATGAATCAGTTGCAGCATGCGTAAGCCTCACCACCTGTGTGTGTGTGTCGTGTGTAGACTACCACACGGCTCTACCAAGAATATTGGCAGGAAGTTCCGTCTGAAATATGAATGTCTCGCCTTAACGTTCATTTTAAGAAACATTAGAGCTAATGCAAATCCCATCAAACTGTTACAACAGATAACACTCGCTTCTTTTTTAGTTTCACTTCTGCCACAGCTCCTATTTTTAGCACCTTGACATTTTTAGGGCAACACAAGACGCCTCATGTAACCAACATATGCCTGTTGATAAATACACACATCCTGCTCAACCGTTCAAAACTGTACCACAGTAAAGCCACTCTAAAAGACGTGGTACGACAAAACAGGGAGGAAAGATGATGAACGTGTGCAGAATCCAGAGCACGTCATCCGAAAGCCAACAGAGAAATCATCCACATTACCGTCTTCAGCCGTTCGGTCCAATTACAGCACGCTGAAGGTTTATTGCCATCAAAGAAACTACTTAGTATGATAGTCTCAGCAGTGAGAGCAGGGCCCGTCTCTTGCATCCTGAGAGCGGCTTCAAAAATGAACATAAAGTATAGGTGGCCTTAATGTGGTTGTGAAGTTTAACGACTTTAATACCGGGGTATGCGATGATATAGAAAGTACATTTTTTTAAGTGTGACGGCTACGTGGGGTAGAATGTAGATGTTGGTGATCAGTCTTCTTTGTCTATGTGGGTTGTCTGTATTTATGATTGTGCTGACATGACTTCGGAGAATGCTATCTCTTAATTGTGTATTGTTTGGACAGAAAATGTCGTGCCTTTGGAGCTTTGTTCCTATAAGCACATATACTTACACACTACTTTGCAGCCCGTTTGTTTGTAGTTAATACAATCTTTAAAGGAATCTTTTACACCTTGAAAGATGAGAGAAACTTTAAAATGTTCTGTCTATAATGTGTTTCAAAATTGGACTTTTCTGAATGCGTCCATGTTCCTTTTATACGAACAGTACAGCACTAACAAAAAAAGAACTTGACAAAAGAGCATGGCAATTCAAGATAAAAGAGTAAATATTAAAGCTTGGATGAAAAAAAAGCTATTACTGTAAACACAAACGCAGTTTACAAAAGGCATTGATCATACTGGACTTTTAGAAAGTAATGGAGGACTTTCTCTATCTCTCTCTCTCTCACACATATACACACACACACGCACACATGTAGGACTATACTGAGTTTGGGGTGTTGGGGAGGGGACTGTGTCTCTAATCTTAGACGTGCAGCTGCAATGTCTACAGATAAAGCATGTTCTGGGTACATGTCAGCTTGCCCACTACAGGATATAAGAATGCTACATTTGTGTACCAATATCGCACACACACATACACACTCTCACTTTGAAAAAAGAGGAGAAAGAAAGGGACAGAGAATGAGAAAGAGGCCTATTATCTGTGTCATGAGCATTTTTTCTTAAAGCTGATTTTGCCCATGTTTGTCACGGCTAATGCAAGATAACTGTGTATTGACAAGTGCCCTGCTCTCATATCTGTCAGGTTTTGAAGTAGCCTGCAGGCCTGCAGCCACAAGCCCACATAAGATAGCTCAGCTACTGATTGAACATTAAAGTTCACTTTCAGACAGATCAATTTATTTTACTTATCTTTCTGAATACAGATATTAATGTGTAATATGTTGATTGCACGGCACAGACTGATGCTGGCGTTCCACTGGGCAACTCAGATGCAACCATAGTCAAGTTTCACGAGAATATTTCCATTGAACAATGTGTTCAGAATGATGTCTAATATGAAAACAGGAACGCCAACACACTCACAATGACTTTTTCAGCCTAGTTCAAACAAACTATCGTGTAGATCTCTATTTTTGGGAGATTTCTCCAAACGTGTCTCGTGATTTAATCAGAGTTTGGTGGTACAAAGATAATAGATTCATCGTTTCAGTCATTTTTTACTCTTTCTCAGGTTCCAGCAGGAGTTGCTGCTGCTCTTTGTCGTATTGGATAGTAATATGAGTACATTTGAAAATGTCTCCTTGGCTCTGAGAAGTTTTGACTGCCATTTCTTCAAAAATATTTTACATTTCATGGAACAAAAAATTAACTAATTAATAGAAGCAGAACAATTCTGAATTGTGGAAGAGGTGACATCAAATGAACCTAACCAAGCTTTAATGGCTTTATTCACCAGTAATAATTCTCCTTAAAATAATATTTGTCATTATTGCCTGGTCCATGAGTCTCAACCAAATGTGCTCAACACATGGGCATCACCTAACCATCACCTAATGATGATACTCACATCCCCTTGTTTCCATACGTATTGTAGAACTCCATGTGGTTACAGGCTTGAATCCAGCCAATGGTCCATGTCTCTTTACCGGCTACTGGCGGCACTAGGACCCGGGCATAAGCTCGGAAGTGCGGTGTCCTGTAGCGCAGGACCACGCTGGATGACTCGTCGATGCTGGTAGGGTTTGGGTCGATGGAAGTGTTCACCTCCACGACGATGATACTGTCTCGGAAACTCTTGGGCTTACACCTGATACTCTGGATACAGCCCATTGCATTAAATAGTAACACAATCCACAACAACGTCCAGAGGTCTGAAGAAGAAGAAAGACGCATGGAAACAGCAAGAAAATCACCACAGGTGGATCCACATCATGTTTTCCAGAAAAAAGCTTACCAGATTGAAAAGTGCTTATTCATAGCAGACTGTCTCAGAAAGCCATTCATCTTTGATGCAAAAACTACTTTCAGAAAAGAAAAAGAAGACAGGCCTAGGATATCTTCATATTTGTTGAGCGCATGCTTTCCGGTGCGTAAACGCAACTTCATCAAACAAGTGCAGGTACAATAACTTTCCTTTATCCGTGCACTGATGTTTTCATGCTGTCAAGTTACAAGTCATCGCTTTCTCAATGCGCTTTTATCACATAAGGACTTGACCTTTTTTGGCGACACGCATCCAGTGGAAAGATGCGCGTAAAAGGTTCCGGTTAATTATGAGCTAAATAATTAACAAATACTACTAATGTTACATCTTGGCGTCATGTTCTCTTTTGTGTGATTCTTTACGTCACTACCAGCTCATCGCTGGACCATTCAAAGGCTAATGCTCTCTGTCCAGCTGGTGACAGGAATCATAATCAAAAATGTTGTGCTGGCCAGTGCACGCGCGGACAGTTACAAACGACTAATGGCAGCGCAGGGGTGACGCTCATATTATGTGGAGCAGCCTTATGTCCATTTAATCAGCAATAGCCTCAATTCCTCACAATAAAAAGTGTAATTTAACGATGGAAGCGCGTTACACTGAACGATTTTATACATGTGCGGATTAACGGCTCGTGCAGTGCAATTGCATGAATTGTGGTCTATTTTTGGCTGACAAAAATAACATGCAAAAAAGTCTACCTATAAAACAGTGCACTGGAAAGTGTCTAGTGTCTGTAGCAGGGTGAAATCCTGGAGAAATTCAGAGTGAACAGCGGCACACACAGTTTCTTCGGTCCGAGAGGTAATTCCGTTATCTCCTTCACAGTCGCTCCCGTTATTTGCAGCTGCAAATTATTTCACCGTCCCACAGGGAGAGGTAGCCTTTCCACAAGCATTGCAATCTAGTCGAGTTTCATCCACGCGACATCCAAAGGACACCGCCGGGTCAACTTTATCACCCATTTCACCGGATCCATTCTTAGATTTTTACAAAATAAATAAAAACAGCCTATAATGCCTCGAAAGGGAGAAAAGATGCCAGCTGTCACATAGTTCGACCGAGCCGACAGTTGCAGCCCTGTCTGTGATGGGATGCAGTTCAGCCGAAATTCCTGCACAAGCTGTCATTTCTCCGTGCTCGTCCCATCGCTGCCACGGCAGGTTCACCCCGCTACGTATTGGTCTATTTCAGCTGCCTGGGAAGCAGCTTTATAAGTATCGTTGAGGCGACACTTCCGCTCTGGGTTGCAGGCATGCCGGGAAATGTAGGCGCAGGGGATTTCAGCCTGATACAATTATAAATATTTTAACAGTTCACCTCAAACCACCTTCTAGGCCTTTGTGTGATGTCGAAAATTATATTTTGTCCCTTTACATATGCACGTTATAATGTTATTAATAATAATAATAATGTATTCTAATTATTAAAGGTTATAGTCTTTGTGTAGTCTTTGTGTGTGTCTTTGTGTTTCTTTGTGTAGCAGTGGCATTTGTTTACTAACTTGATCACATTCATTTAAATAATTAACCTGGGGATAAATATACAATAATGTGAACTTGTGCATATTTATGTATTTTATTTATGTTATAAACAATGTTTATATGTAATGTAATATTCAACTGGAATTGCCATCAACATTCATGCCAATGAAGTTTATTTGAAGTTTATTTATTTCGGGGCAGGCTGGATATGTCTGTGATCGGTCATGATAGGTAAGAAATAATCTATAAGATCTATGGTCTGACGATCATATTTTGATTATGTGGTGTGATTTTATTTTTTTTATTAGCTTTTTGTTTGGGAGCATTGTAGCACTTTGCCAATCCCCCCCTCCTCCCCCCCACCCCCCCTCCCC